CCCCAAAATCCCCCAAATTTGCCCCAAATCCCCCCGGCAGCCCCGGACCCCCCATGGTGAACCCCAACGTGTGGGCCTCAGGTAGCGAGGGGGATTCGGGGAATTTTGGGGAATTTTGGGGGATTCGGGGAATTTCGGGGAATTTTGGGGAATTTTGGGGAATTTTGGGGCATTTGGATGGATTTTGGGGGAATTTTGCAGCATTTTGCTGACTCTTGGTGGATTTGGGGGAATTTTGGGGAATTTTGGCGGTTTTTGATGAATTTTGGTGGATTTTTGGGACTCTTGGAGGATTTTGGGGGGATTTGGCTGAACTTTGGTGGATTTTGGTGGATTTTGGGGACTCTTGGAGGATTTGGGGCAGATTTTGGGGAATTTGGATGGATTTTGGGGAATTTTAGTGGATTTTGGGTGGATTTCACTGAATTTTGGTGGATTTTGCTGAACTCTGGTGGATTTTGGGGAATTTTGGTGTATTTTGAGGAATTTTGGGGAATTTTGGTGTATTTTTGGGGAATTTTGGGGAATTCTGGGAGGATTTTGGGGAATTTTGGGGAATTTTGGGAGGATTTTGGGGATTTTTGGGGAATTTTGGGTGGATTTTGGTGTATTTTGAGGAATTTTGGGGAATTTTTGTGTATTTTGAGGAATTTTGGGGAATTTTGGGTGGATTTTGGGGAATTTTGGGGAATTTTGGGAAATTTTGGGGAATTTTGGGGAATTTTGGTGGATTTTGGGGAATTTTAGTGGATTTTGGGTGGATTTCACTGAATTTTGGTGTATTTTGAGGAATTTTGGTGGATTTTGGGGATTTTTGGGGAATTTTGGGGATTTTTGAGGAATTTTGGGGAATTTTGGGTGTATTTTGAGGAATTTTGGGTGGATTTTGGGGAATTTTGGGGAATTTTGGGGAATTTTGGGGGGCTCCAGGGGGATTCGGGGCTCTCGGGGGGGTCCCGCCCCCGCCCCTCCCCACCGGCCGATTTTGGGGCATTTTGGGTCATTTTTCTCTTTTTTTTTTGGGACAAAAAACCCCAAAATCGGCGAAAGCAGAAGTGAAAGTGGGGGAGGGGGGGGAGGGGGGGTCCGGGGGTTCCCCCCCCCAAATTCTCCCCTCCCCCCCCCGGGGTGACTCAGCCTCATGCAAATGAGGGGGGAGGGGAGGGGGCGACACCCCCGGGCGCCCGGAGCCGCTCGGAGCCCCAAAATCCCCCGAAATCCCCCCAAAATCCCCCGAAATCCCCCCAAAATCCTCCCCGCCAGGGGCGAGACCCCTCCCCCCGAGGTAAGGGCCAGATGGGGCAAATTTGGGGGAAATTCGGGGGATTTCGGGGCAAATCCGGGGGATTTGGGATTTTGGGGGGCTCCTGGGGTGTTTTGGATGAATTTTGGGGGGATTTGCGATTTGGGGGGGGCTCCTGGGGTGTTTTGGGTGGATTTTGGGGGATTTGGGATTTTGGGGGGCTCCTGGGGTGTTTTGGGTGAATTTTGGGGGGATTTGGGATTTTGGGGGGCTCCTGGGGTGTTTTGGGTGGGATTTGGGTGAATTTTGGGGGGGTTTCGGGTGAATCAAAGGCGATTTTGGGGTGACTTTGGGGGAATTTGGGTTTTCGGGGTGCTTTGCCTGAATTTTGGGTGATTTCGGCGGATTTTGGGTGACTTTGGTGTTTGGAATCATTTGGAGCAGTTTTTGGGGTGATTTTGGCCGATTTTGGGGTGATCCGGGGGTGATTTTTGTAGTCCTGGCTGAATTGGGCTGAATTTGGCTGATCTGGGGTCATCTTGGGGTCATTTTGGGGTGATTTCCGCCGGTTTTTGGGGTGGCCCCGATGAAGCGATTTCAGGCTGATTTTTGGGCTGATTTTGGGCCGATTTTGGGTCATTTTGGGGTGATTTCCGCCGGTTTTGGGGTGATTTTGGGGACGTTGGGGATCAGGAGATTTCCGGGTGATTCTGGGGTGGTTTTGGACAATTTTGGGTCGCTTTGGGCTGTTTTTGGACAATTTTGTGTCGTTTTGGGCCATTTCGAGGCGATTTCTGCTGATTTCGGGGTTGTCCGGGGGGGTTCTGGGGATGAAGCGATTTGGGGCTGATTTTTGGGTGATTTTGGGCTGATTTGATTTTTCCCCCCAGAACTGAGGATGTCTAAACCCCTGGAGCTGGAGAAGGAGCTGCCGGGGGAGCGCCCGGGTAGGGACTTTTGGGGACATTTGGGGACATTTGGGGACGTTTTTGGGGGTCCTCGAGGGGATTTGGGGACCCCCCTGAGTGTCCCCTCCCCCCCCAGACACAGAAACCAATGGACCCGACACGAACCACCAGGTGAGATTTGGGGATTTTGGGGTTTTTTGGGGATTTTGGGGTTTTTTGGGGGGTTTGGGGGTTTTTTTGGGGGGGTTTCACCCCCACAGAATTTGGGGGTCCCCCCAAATTTGGCTCCTCCCCCCCCCCAGGCCCAGCAGAACAAACCCCCCCCCTTCGGCCCCGCCCCCCCCGGCCCCGGCGCCAAGGTAAGAGAGAGACCCCAAAAATCCGCCCCAAAATACCCCAAAATACCCCAAAAATCCTCCCCAAAATACCCCAAAAGTCCTCCCCAAATACCCCAAAAATCTGCCCCAAAATATCCCAAAATACCCCAAAAATCCTCCCCAAAATACCCCAAAAATCCTCTCCAAAAGACCCCAAAAATCCGCCCCAAAATACCCCAAAAATCCGCCCCAAAATACCCCAAAATACCCCAAAAATCCACCCCAAAATACCCCAAAATACCCCAAAATCCTCCCCAAAATACCCCAAAAATCCTCCCCAAAATACCCCAAAATACCCCAAAAATCCTCCCCAAAATACCCTAAAAATCGTCTCCAAAAGACCCCAAAATCCTCCCCAAAATATCCCAAAATATCCCAAAAATCCTCCCCAAAATACCCCAAAAATCCACCCGAAAATACCCCAAAAATCCTCTCCAAAAGACCCCAAAAATCCACCCGAAAATACCCCAAAAATCCTCCCCAAAATACCCCAAAATACCCCAAAAAATCCTCTCCAAAATACCCCAAAATCCTCCCCAAAATATCCCAAAAATCCTCCCCAAAAGACCCCAAAAATCCTCCCCAAAATACCCCAAAATACCCCAAAAATCCACCCCAAAATACCCCAAAATCCTCCCCAAAATACCCCAAAACCTCTTTAAAATCCTTCCCCAAATCCTCCTCAAATCCCCCCAAAAATCCTCCCCAAATCTGCCCCAAATTCTGCCCCAAATCCCAAAATCTGCCCCAAATTCCCCCAAATCCCCCAAATTTGCCCCAAATCCCCCAAATTCCCCGTCCCGCCCCTCCCCCGCCCGGTTCCTGTTTGGGGCCCGGGGTGGGGGAGGGGCGGGGGGAAATCCCGGCCGGCGGCGGCAAAACAGGAAATGGGGGGATCCCCAAAATTCACCCCAAAATCGGCCAAACCACCCCGAAAATACCGAAACCTCCAAAATTCACCCCAAAATCGGCCCAAACCACCCCAGAATCCACCAAAATTCACCAAAATTCACCAAAATTCACCCCAAAATCGGCCAAACCACCCCAAAAATATCGAAACCTCCAAAAATACCCCAAAATCCGCAAAAAACACCCCAGAATCCACCAAAATTCACCAAAATTCACCCAGAATCCACCAAAATTCACCAAAATACCCCAAAATCCACCCAAATTCACCCAGAATCCACCAAAATTCACCCCAAAATCCACCAAAACCACCCCAAAAATATCCAGAGACTCCAAAAATACCCCAAGATCGGCCCAAACCACCCTGAAAATATCGAAAACTCCAAAAATACCCCAAAATCGGCCAAAACCACCCCAGAATCCACCCAAATTCACCCCAAACACCCAAAATCCACAAGAATTCACCCAAAATCTGCTCCGAACACCCAAAATCCCACAAAATTCACCCAAAATCAGCCCCAAACACCCAAAATCCACCAAAATTCACCCCAAACACCCAAAATTCACCCAAAATCCACCAAAATTCACCCAAAATCCACACCAAACACCCCCAAACCCACCAAAATTCACCCAAAATCCACCAAAATTCACCCAAAATCCACGCCAAACACCCCCAAAATCCACCAAAATTCACCCCAAACACCCAAAATCCCCCAAAATTCACCCAAAATCCACCCTGAACACCCAAAACCCACCAAAATTCACCCAAAATCCCCCAAAATCCACCAAAATTCCCCAAATCCCTTCAGACTGCCCAAATCTCCCTGAATCCCCCCGAATTTCCCCCAAATCCCTGGGATTCGCCCCGAATTTCTCCAAATTTGCCTGGAATTTCCCCAGAATTTCCTGAATTCGCCCAGAATTTCCCCAAATTTCCCAGAATTTCCCCGAGTTTGCCCGGAATTTTCCCGGATTTGCCCGAATTTTCCCCGAATTCTCCCAGAATTCCTCCAGAATTTCCTGAATTTCCCCAAATTCCTCGAGTTTTCCCAGGAATTGCCCCAAATCCCGAAATTGCCCCAAATCCCGGAATTGCCCCAAATCCCGGAATTGCCCGAAATCCCGGGAATTTGCCCCAAATCCCGGAATTGCCCCAAATCCCGGAATTGCCCCAAATCCCGGGAA